AAACACAACATAAACCCAGGGTGGAATTATCCACGAGGCATAGTAGATACATGATTAAGGTCAACAAAAATGTTTCAATTTTTATTTATAAAATCAGAATTAAACATAAGAATGAATACATAACAATTCAGTCTGGATTTTATGTGTCTTTATCTTAACTCAGTTCTAAAACACTATTTTTACTTTTTTTGAGGAATAAACCCATAAAAGCAAAGTTTTTAGGATCTATGAAAGTCATAATGCAGCCTCACTTTTACATTCAATAAATCTTTAGTAAGTGTTTCTGGCAGACACGTTTTATTTTCTACACAATATCCATCCTCTCTCCTCTTTCCTTCCCTGCTGTTAGAACTCTGAGCTGTTCAGGTCTTGGGCACCTATTCTTTGCCTTCAGGGGTGTAGGATGAATGATAATTGGTCCAATGCAAGTCTAGAATCTCCTTTCCCTTTGCCACTGGTTAGTCTAGGTTGGTCGTTTGGCTGAGTTCTGACAGGTGTAGGGATCTTACTGAATGCAAAGAGAAACCATTTGCCTCTGACTCTTCTTCCCTGCTTGGAGCTGTACTAGCTGTCTTGTAGCCAGGAGGCAATGATCTCTCAGATGATGAAGAGGATGCAGCAAAAACTTCAAAGAGCCTGCCTGGCTGCTGGAGAACCTCACTAAGCTACTGATTCCACCCTGCACTGCCTACCTTCAAACATTCTGTTTACTCAACAAAAAGAGTGCTTGTGATTCAAGTCACTATTAGTCAAGATGTCTGTTACTAGAAGCCAGAGCATTTTCAATGAATGCTGTCTACCATGTAGCAGGCCTGGCATCGAATTCAGTCCTTATAGAACTGAATGAGAACATCAAGCTCATACAATGCACCAGCGAGGAACCTGAGTCCCAGAGAGCTTACTCAGAATCGGTTGATTGTTAGAGTTTCTGATGCTTTGTATTTGAGTGGGTTGAATTTAAAAGTACCTTCTGTTCATCCTTTTGAGTACAAGTCAGTCTGGCAGATAAATCAACTTCAATTAACCACTTTCAAATTCAAGGTTGCACTTATTTGTCTATATCGATCAAATTTTCTGGAGCAGCCAGGTAATTGCCATTGTTATTTTGACATGTTCTTGGCCATGGAATTTCTCTCTATCTAATATCAGACTAAAACTTATCCCTCAACTTGAAGTTGTTCTCTTAATCTTAAAGTTTGATTTAGCTGCTAGAGAATATTCCGTTTCCTAAGGAATCCAAATTTTCACTTCAAAGAACCTTTTCCTTACAATCTCATGTGCTGTCCACTCAAGTTGGAATCTCCTTGCAATTATACTGCATATGGTGACTCTCCATTACTCAGTAAATGAACACCAACTACTTCTATATGGAGGATAACAAAATAAATACAGAGATGTCTAAGACATAGTCCCTCAACTCAAAGGACTAGTTTGAAAGGTAAACACACTCATAAAATGATAATGATAATAGTAATAATAAGCCCTAAGTTCCCTTATTCTATTTATTCCCTGTCCTTTTTTATATGTAATTTGGACCTGTTATGGGTTAGAAGGTTCTTACATATTTTATATGTAATGCATATTATATATTTGGAAGAGAATATATATCCTACTTAGTACTTGCCTATATGTTTGATCTAAAACAAACATTTCCTCTGGCTATGCACAAGGCATCAGTTCAGTTGTTACCTTGAAATGTGTAAATCAGGAGAATCAAGAGGAGAAGTAACTGTCTTACTCTTGAGCCCACGATCCCCTTTTAGTCTTAGTCAACTACCAATAGCAACAGAAATTTCTTAATATTGCTTTTTGGGGGAAATTATGAGGATGTGAAGCTTACAAATGGATTGTTTTCCCTTACCTGAACACAGACAACCCCATAGCAACATATATTCACATATCCTCTTACCAGTCACATGGTAGCTGTTTATTAAGTATAGACTCAATTGATATTCATCAGGAGCTAGCATTTCAACATAGGTCCTGCAGACCAGTATTTCCCTACAATGAATACCAGTATTTACCTTTTCATACTTCCCTTTTCCCTTTCCTACAAAGATTCCTGAGGTGCTTTAAAAAAAAAAAGTAGTCCTGATTGTAAAGTACCATAGCTGGGTGAGGCAGAGCAAGAAGAGGAGAGTCGGCATTCTACTCGGAATGGTTTTCTGGGAATTTGCCAAGGCAATATAGCTCTAGTAAGATTCCAGGCTTGATTCCTTTTCTGCTATTATTCTTATCCCAAACCTCACCAAAGACGTGCATGCGCACGCGCACGCGCGCGAACACACACACACACACACACACACAGATTGCCCCAAGAATTACTTATAATTTCTCTACTTCACTTTCTTTTACCATCAGAGGCATGTACAAAGAGGACTGGGTAAGAGTTGTGGCCCCAGAGGGGCTGTTTCCCGTGACCTCCATATGAGCGTGAATGTGTGTGAGCATGTGTAGGGGCATCACAGAAGTTAGGTAGACCACTTCAGTCCTCCTCAGAAATTAAGGACCTCTATATTGTGGGCCTCAAGATTGAAGGAAGCCAATGATTAATTAAGTCAGCTATTTCCAAGCACTGTCCTGATACTTTATATACATTATTTCATTTAATCTTCTAACAACCCTAGGAAATAGGTATTTTTCCACATTATGGTATAGGAATATAATTTCCACTTCTTAATCTATTTTTTTAGCATGTAAGAAATCACAGGGAAAACTATAGCTTTGGAATCATTCACTGCAGTTGAATCCTAGGTCTATAATTTACTAACAGTTCGAGTTTTCATAAGACCCTCATATGCAAAATGAGGATAATTATATCTTCCTTACAGCGTTATTGAGAGGATGCAAGATATTGTCTGTAAGACATCTAAGTCATGACCGTCACATGGTAGCTGTTTAATATGTGTAGACTCAATTGTTATTCATCAGGTTTTCCTTGCGCACCAAACTGATGCCGAGTACCGGTTACATAATTACAGACATAAGTCAGATTGCACCTGCACTTTTCAGACACTTACAATCTGGCTGGACAGACAAATGAACATAAAAAAAGATACATGCATGTAAATTAGATGTAATAAAGATACTAACAGAGCATGTACGACTCCAAGGCAGAAATGTTTAATTCTGCCTTAAGGAAGTAGGACAATTTCATTTGGTAGAGGTGATATGTGCTCTGAACAAAGAAGTAGGAATCATATCTTATCTGGTAGGAAAGAGGGAACAAAAGTTCAGGAAAAGGAAAGCATATGAGACATAAAATAATTTGAAATGTTCTGGGGACAGTAAACAGTTCTGTGGACTCAAGAGGAGAGGAATGAGGTAATATAAGGGTCACTGTCTGGAGCCATGCTGCCCACTAAAAACACACAGTGGGCCACACATGTGGTTTTGAATTTTCTAGAAGCCACATTAAGAAAGTAATAATATATTTTATTAAACCCAATCGTTCAATATATATATATATGGCTAAGCGACTGTTACGGTCAAATGACCAGAACGACTGGTC